GGAGCCAGTGGGACTTGACGCCCATTGTGCTGGGGGTGAGGTGGGAGCACAGGCACCTCCTCAGCCACGGGCTCGCCCAAGCTGGCTGTGCCCATTGTGTTTTGCGGGTTTTGTGTGGCAGCGGTGCGTGCACCGCCCACGCCTCCATCCACCTCTGCCTGCCTCAGTGCCAGCTCGGGAAGCAGATCCCTTCGGGAAGGAAAGGCCACTCAGCGTCACCCCATCCTGGCTGGGGGTGAGGTGGGAGCACAGGCACCTCCTCAGCCACGGGCTCGCCCAAGCTGGCTGTGCCCATTGTGTTTTGCGGGTTTTGTGTGGCAGCGGTGCGTGCACCGCCCACGCCTCCATCCACCTCTGCCTGCCTCAGTGCCAGCTCGGGAAGCAGATCCCTTCGGGAAGGAAAGGCCACTCAGCGTCACCCCATCCTGGATGGGCTTCCAGAGACGCCTGAGCTGTCCCCCCGCTGCTGTCTGCTGTGCCGATGGCCGTAACACTCCCAGTGTTGCCGAGGGAACCCCGATGCCGTTTTTAATCCAACTGAGCTCAAAAAGGCACCCAGGGTTGGTGGCCCGGGACCAGGCGTGGGGCTGCCAGAGCTCCTCAGCCCCTGCCCCGTGGCACTGCTGAACAGGAGACAAGCTCCGGACCCAAATCAGCTGCTGAGCTTCAGGTCACATCTCTCGTTATTAAAAACTCGTTTGGTTTTGTCCGTGGTCTCTTCTGCACTCGTGTCAAGGACCCCTGAGCCGGCAGGGGCTGCATGGCTCCCAGGTGTCTCCTTGGTCTCACTGTTGAACAGAGAGCAAATGTTTATATGATCCCCTTTGATCAGATCGATTCAAAATCCTTTGATTTTTCGGATTGTGCCTTTTATTGCGGGATTTTCTCCCCCGCTGTGCAGCACGGGGAGCAGGCAGAGGTGATATCGCTGCTCCTAACAGCCATCACCTGTTTACACAGGTCTCATTGAGATGTTGCCACCATCTGCAGAAGAATGTGACCTTCTGCTCCCACTCTCTGCTGCACAAATATGAGCCTGGCCATAAATTCTTTTCAACTTAACCAGTTAAATATCATGAACCACCAGCTTGGACGTCAAACAAGTGCCCGTTTCTGGGGCCACAGCCTGGTACTGGTGCCGGGGCTTTGCCCCAGTGCGAGCATTGGTGTCACCCAACACCGTGCATGGGCAGCGCCAGCAGCGACCCTCCCAAGTGTCCGCCTCACCATGAACCATGTTTGTTTTTCTTCCTTAATTTGACCTCAGCCTAAAAGTCGTGACTTCCTTCCCACGGTGTGTATCATTTCTCACGGTGCTAAAATGAGCGTGCACAAGCATGCGCAAGCGTGCACCTGGGCCAGGCAGTAGCCCACTAGTTGTCCATTCTTTGGGACAATGTAGACGCTGCTTCCAGCGTCCAGTCTCTAATCATCCGATGGGGGTGGAGCGGGGACTGTTTTGCCCCCAGCAGCGAACAGGCACTGTGCCATGGAAAGGGTGGTGATGCTTCCATCCATGTTCTCCTCGGGAGCCTGAACCCCCGTCCTCCTTCCCCTCCTGCCTGATAAGACAGTTCTGTGCTGCCAAAAAGTCCCCCAAGTCTATGCTCTCTCACCTACTTGTCTCATGTGCCCTTTTTTCTTTTTTTTTTTTTTTTTTTTTTTTGTTTTGTTTTTGAAGCAGAGGAAGAAGATGAAGAAGAACCGGACAAAATGCAGAATGGGAAGGACCGAGGTAAGAATGGGAAGGACCGAGGTAAGGGGGAGACCAACGGTGCTCTCTGCACCACAAAGCACTTTCTGGTTGGCGGTTCTGCAGGGGTCAGTTGGCCATCTCCGTCGGGAGCCCCAGGACGGGGCTCTGAGCGCGGATGGCTCTGGGTGGACGGTGACCACGTTGCTGCCGCTGCCATCACACTGCCGGCAGACACAGCACGTGGTTTATCCACCTGCTCGTTATTGCCACGCTGACAGGTCGCTCCCTCCAACATCTGCCCTAGCTAGAGGCAACATCACGGCCAGGGTGTCTTCAGCATGCGCATTCAGCTTCTGAGGCTGCTTTTCTTTCAGCAAAGGTCGTGCATGGATCTTTGCAGTGCATGAGAGGAGGAGGAGCACCCGCGACCCTGTGAGAAATCTGGTTCAGAAACAGATGCAAGCGTGGGCTGGTCACCAGGGAAGTTCCTGGGTGGTGGGATCATCATCTGCCAAACCGCTGCCTCCTATGAGCTTGGCTGGACAAGTGTTCGGAATGACTCTGTGGGCAGTGTGGGTAGTGCCGTCAGCTGAGTGGGGTTTCAGAGGAGGTCTCCTCCATGTCTGCCATCCCTGGATTGCAGGTCCAGATGCTAAATCCTCCCCAGACCACGTCTTCCTGTGATGCGAAAGCATCCACAGCACATTAGCCGAGTTATCCGCGGGGCTAGCAGCGATCATGGCAGGCGTGGAGTGCGGCCCCAGAGCTCACAAACAGCCGTGCGTCCTACCATTGGGTCAGAGGAGTCTGCGGTAGAGTGGCTCCTCATCGCACGCACCACGAGCCAACGGAAGAGCACGTCCCAGCGCCGCCTTGGGAAAGGACCCTGCTTGCGGCTCCTTCTACTTTTGCTTCCTACGTTTTAAACCAAAACGTGAGAAACGAACTCGGAGAGGTTTGGATCAGCCTGAGCGTTTCTGTCTTACTGGAGCCAAACCAAATTTCAGCATCAACAAACTGGAAGTGTTTCTCCTTTTTCTGCCGTATGCACAATTTCCTCCCGGCTGAGTCGAAGTCACGGGGCTCACATTCCTCACCCAAAGAACTGGATCTCCGGAGTTTTCCTGCCCAGTGAGTTCTGCAAAGCGTTCAGGTGTTCAGAGATGCTTCCTGATGGTTTGTCCGTCACTGTCAGACATCGGGAGTTGGTAGGAAGCAGTGAAGTAAGTCCGGTTTTAGCTGAAACAGAAGTTCTCAAAGCAGAATCGTGTTGGCTCTGAATCACAGGGCTCTGCCCCAGAACGTCTCTCCTCAGTTACATATTTTAGATGCTCAGCAGGTGACCTGCTGCTTTTTCCCAAATGTGCATTGTGTCTTGCATGGGAAGTAGGGAACGGGGGATTTTGAGGAGCTGAAATATGATGTATGGTAGTGGAGATGTAGTACGACACATTCAGTGCTGCTACTCATTGCAGCAGCACTGGAGTCAGGTTGGGAACGGAGATGTGTAACCAAAAGCAGAACTTGCTCCAAAAGCCTTTGCGTGGAATGTAAATATCATCCCTGCCAGCGAGGAACTGATTTCTCGTGTCACAGAGTCAGTGAGATCCAAATCTGGCAGAAAAATCACGGAACGATCGATACATGAGCTGCAGTCCTGATGCGGAGCACGCACGCCATGGAAGCTGCTCTGGCACCGCAGTACGTTGGCCACGGGGCATCAGGCTGTGGGGCTGTGCCGGCTGCATCGAGGACGGGCGGCACGAAAGCGCCTGTGCTCAGCCCTGTGTTACCTACAGGGACCCGCGGCTGGACGCTGCCCGGTCCGACCAACCGCTTGCCCACACTGAGCTCCACCTGCCCCAACTTCTCTTTACGCGGCGGCTCCGCGTGCATCCCGGCCTCAGCAGAGCTCTTGCATTTCTGCCTCCCGTCCTGAACAGACCAGAAGGAAAATCACTTGTGGCTCGTCCTGTGCTCAGCCCTGTGTTACCTACAGGGACCCGCGGCTGGACGCTGCCCGGTCCGACCAACCGCTTGCCCACACTGAGCTCCACCTGCCCCAACTTCTCTTTACGCGGCGGCTCCGCGTGCATCCCGGCCTCAGCAGAGCTCTTGCATTTCTGCCTCCCGTCCTGAACAGACCAGAAGGAAAATCACTTGTGGCTCGTGTATTCCCCAACTTCTGCACCAGGGAGACACCAGACTCCGCGGGGTCGCCACCGCGATGTGTTTCCTGCGGCACCATCGCCCTTGGGCTTCCTCACAAGTTCCTTCACCAAGTTATTTCATGTTTCTCTGCGTCCCAGTTAATCAACCTCAGAATGTTCATACGCTCGATACAGCAGTGGCG